AAGACTAGGGTTTTGGCCATCTCTGCTGCTACGCGCGTAGATTATACAACCCATAGGCCTTATCTCGAGACGAATGTAACCTGCGATACGTGCGTCGAGAACGCCGTGTCGAAAAACGTTCGCGATGCCATTCGAGTATCGAACGCCGAACAAAGTACACGTGCATTTAATTTACGCGATTTAGTTTTACTTTCCTTTACGTTTCCTCCTGATTCCGTTACAGGACCGAATTAGGTTTTAGGGGATGTTTTCTCAAATTTGTATGTATTCGGAGCACCGATAAGTCGAGTACTCCTTGAACAACGAGTACTGGACGCGAGTACTTGGAATGATAGACACGAATGAAATGTAAAATTGGAAGAGAATCTAACATCTCGAATTAATTAACTTGGAATTGTACGTTATATTTCCTCGGCGCTGTTTAAAAAGAAGAAACTATTAACCCTTTGCACTCGAGAGGTGACTCTCGCTAGGTTTCCTTTAAGTTTAATTTCTTTGGAACACGAAGTGTCAATGAAATGATTGTCGTTGAGGCAAAGGTGACCTGATTCTCAAATCTCAAATTAAGAATTTCATTTTTGAAGTTAATCTAATCATTGACAATTCTATCAGCTGGATCAAAGGAGTTAATCGAATAAAACTCGCGTTATCGTTCTCAAATTTGTTGACAGTAAAGTCGTAGTAAGAAAAAGAAACGAGCCCGACTTCATGAATGACTTTTTTTTATGAATGATCGAAAGGAAAATGCACGTGCATGTGGACCGGAGCGTATAGAAGTACCTTTATGGCTTGGAAGACCTGCCCGGTTTCCTCTAAAGGCTTCTGCAGAAAATCTGCCAGATATTTTCATTCATAGACTGAAAACCATGTGCATCATCCCACGTGATTCCGGTCTTCGTCGTTCGATGGCTGAAACGATCATTCTTATCGCTACTTTCCACCCCCCTCCCACCCTCCCCCACAAAAAAATAATGGCACTTTGTTATCACTTTGGAGAGCTCAAGAAAAAACTCCCGTTCACGAGATCAACGAAGAATCTCCGAAGAACGATTCGGGTATTATTTGCAACGTATCTGAGTGTTCGCTACTTTGGAAACCGATAGAATTCAGTTCGTTGCACTCATTTTTGTTTAATTTTCAGTAGGAGTTCACCATCACCACGCACGTTAATGATTCCTCGCCAGCTTCTTCCTGTTCTTGTACAGATTCTTTATCTTCTTCTCGGACATTTCTGCAGTTCTATTTCCTGTTTCCTTGGAGGACGGACTCCCTTCGGTCGCATCTCGTTTACTCATGGTTACATCTTGGAGGTTGGTCTAAACGCGCTGGGAGAACATCACCGTGTCGTAGATCCCAGGACACCGCGTTATCCAAGGAAGAGGAACGTAGAAAATCACAGACGAGGTATATTCCACTTTTAGAAGGCGAATACCGATCCTTTACTGATCCTTTACTGATCCTTGACTGATGTTCCTTTCGTAGATCGAGCAGTGAAGTCCTCAAGAAGTCCTGAAGAAGTCCTGGGGGATGGAGTCCTCGAGGGCCACTACCGGTGCCACGCTGGCAAGATGCTCTGTCAATGTGTCTTGGCTAACTAGAGATCTACCACCTACTATCACCCACTCTCACCCCTTACTCACTGACTACGATCCATCCGAACCCCACTCCACCATGGGCCGGCCTCTTCTTCGTTCTCTTTTTTCCTCTCCCTCGACAGGCTTCGATCCACGTGCGTCCCGTCCTCGTCTTCCACGTGCGTACCCCTACCCCTGCTTAACAACCTTCTGGCCATGCCTCTGCAAAATACTCGAGCAAAGTACTTAAGAATATTTGCAAAACTTTAACCTTTTGCATCTACGGATGAGCCCGTGCCCTTCCTTCCTTGGTAAAGGTGAACAATTATCAGAATTAATTATTTCTAACGTCGATTTAATATTTCTGATACGTTCCTCCTTTTTTACAGATTCCGTACCGACCGAGACGAAAGGATCGTTCTTATTATACATAAGATGCAAGAAATTGGCGGGAAAAATAGAAGACAGTTTTGTGGCCCGGTGCTACTCAGGCAAAACTACAGACTAGAGAAATTAGAATTGGGCAGGCAGCGGGCAGGCCCTTCTTCGCGAAGGTCTTCGTCTTCGTCCGTTAGTTCGAGAAAATTGATAATCGAGAAATGAAACAAATGAGAAATAAAAGACAGTTTGTAAAATAGAAGACAGAGCGTGAGCTGTAAAAAAAAATACTCGTGGACGGGGAGGGTAAGGCGTAAGGAATAGTTTCGAGGCGATACCCATGTCCACGAGCGCGCAAGACGCTTCGAAATACACGGGTCGAGCCGTCGTCGATGCCGACGACACGGGATACTAATCGTTCATTCGGCGATCGCTGATCAGTGATCGGGGGCCTCCTTCGAGCCACGTCTCGGCTACACCGATATCCTCGTAAGAGAGCGGGAGACGGGGAAGTAGGATATTATTTTCTTCAGATACCATTACCACGCCGATCACGGTGGTCCTGCCTCGCAGACGAGTGGCCCCGATACCCTCGAGATCACTGGCTTGTAATGCCTTCCCTTTCGTGGATTATTGACCAGTGAACGGTGAGCCCGGCCGCGAAACACCCAGACGCTACCTATTCCACTTGCCGACCTGCAACGCCACCCTCTGCGACTGTCGTCACCTTACGGAATCTTCCTCTCGTCGCAAGAACGCTCGACCGTCTTCCTCGCCAACATTCGCCAGAAGTATCATTTCATTCTTTTCACTCGAGGTTTATCTAAGAATGTTACCTACCGTTCCTTATTTTCCTCGTGAGCTATATGTCCAGATTCCAGAATACAGAGTCCAGAATACAGAGTCCAGAATACAGAGTCCAGAATACAGAGCCTAGAATACAGAGCCTAGAATACAGAGTCTAGAATACAGAGTCCAGAGTACAGAGTCCTCCAGGATGAAGAAACGAAAGAAAAGATCAACTCGGAAGGAATCAGTTACTCGAAAGATTCATGCCCAAGTCTCCCATAAGACCAAGTAACGGATCGATGTATCCCACGGTACCGTCGCCAACCGTCAGTCACCCTCCCACATTCGGCCCTGTGGCGAAGAATGCCGTGGTGCGAGAGGAACTCCTCCAGGTCGCTGGAAACGTTACAGTTCCGTGGAATTGCGCGTTACCGTTGTAAGGGAAAGGGCGGGGTCCGGTTTTCTACGGGGTCCTGCGTAAATACCGTGGGCCCAATCGGCTGGAAGCGTAAGCCAATACCCAGGGTGTACACTCCGCGTGGCGCGGGCTCTTCTATGCGACTCTACCTCGTTCTCCCTTTTGCTTCTCATCTTTACACCCTCTCTTTTTCTCTTTCTCCCTCGCTCATTCACCGGCTCGCAACGAACGTTACTCTAACAATCGGTACGTGTACCTAGCCTAACAATTTACACAAATACCGGACCTGATAACTGGTAATTGGTGGTATCTAGGTACAAGGCGTACTTCCGGAACGAAAACGAGAGTGAATTTGACGTCCAGTCGAATTTTTTAATGCATAACTCAGTGGTCAAGCGCATCCGACTATAGAATATCCACATAATTGGGACCTCTAACAAACATTAGTCTAACAATTGGTACGTATACCTAACCCAACAATTTACACAAATACCGAGCCTGACAACTGGTAATTGGTGATACCTAGGTACAAGGCGTACTTCCGGAACGAGAGGAACGAATTCGACGTCCAATCGAATTTTTTAACGCATAGTTCCTGGGTCAAGCTGTCGCCTCTCACGAGTCGGGGCGCATCCGACTATCGAATATCCACATAATCGGGACCGTCAGGCCGGACACCTGACTACGTAGTTCCGATGTTGGACACAGGAAGAGGAAGTCAACCGCACGGCGGTGTACTGGCGTCGACCGTGTGTCACCCACTGCCGCGCGTCCAACGCCGGACCCACGGAATACCAGGGATCGTGTATCTCTCTATGTCCCTATCGCCTCATAGCGAAAAGAATATAAACTCAAGCTTTATTTATAAAAATATCGACATATCCTATTTGTACAATGTTTAACATAAAACTGACTATTCGAATAACTCTTTAGTTTAGGAGCAGCTTCGCATCGTAACAATAGAAATCGAAAGCGAGACAGAGAAATAATATGAACGTTTTAATAGCAACATTCGTTCCTGTTTACACCCAGTTTGGGGATGCTGAATCTTTCATTCAAAGCGTCCATGGTAAGCAGCATAGTTCACCCTCTGGAAGCCACTGTTACTCGCAACCACACCTGTGTTTGCTCGCACCTGAAATCAAAGAGGCGATTACATCGTTACATCGACGATACGGGAGAGGCAAACACGCGTCGTACATCCGCTTTTCGATCACGTGTGCACGTTAGGCGACCACTTAGGCGGCAAATACCTCTTCCTTAAATACTTTAAGCAAATATCGTGGTCACGGATGAGCGCTCCGTTGAACATTCTTTAATCTTCCTGCGCGTTCAATTTTCTAAATTAACAGTTTTATTTTAACAGTTTCACGGAGAGAATATTCGCACGCACAGCTTTCGTGAAGGTTGCAAACTTCTGGGGCTCGCGTTCCAGGGTTCGCATAGAAGCGTGTTCATCGTCGCGACTCCCGGTTGAATGATTAACGATCCCGATGGGATGACAGTGACCGTATTGTTCGCGATCAAAACTGCCTCCCACCGGTCCTGTCTCCCTTTGCTAAAGTGATTGCGTACCGGATAATCTCCGACGGTACGAGAACCCTCCCCCCCCCCTCCCGCTTCGAACGATGGAGATGTTACCAAATACGTCACGGGTACTTAATTACGTTTGCGGCGTACCACCTCGTATAGCGAGGGCCAAGCTCGACGCTCCAAACTCCGTGTAATTCTGAGGGGGAACCCCCTGAACCTGTGGTTTTCCACAGTACCAGAACAATTGAGCCGTTTGTCGTGAAGCCGGTTTTTTTGAAAAATGGAATCGCAGAAGATAATAGATCTGTTATATATATTTCTTTTTCGGGTATACAAATTTCCATGTAAAACATTAATAATACTTTTGTCAGAATTAAGAAGACTGAGAGATCTAGGAGGCTGACTACGAAGAGGACAGGGCGTTACGAGCGCGTCGCGGGACGATTTGCAAGTACGTATAATCTCTTTTTCGCTGGGAATCCCATCGGATGACAAGATAGCGATCGGATACTAACGTATTGCGTTCTTTATTCCGTAGATCTTTGGCGTATGCGGTGACGGTGGCGGCTGGCTGGCACGCGCCGTATGTAATTCAATCGGGTATTTCGTCGAGGACAAGAGAAGGCCCGGGGGTGATAAGTGGACGAGGTTTTAATCCCCGAGAAACTGTTACAAACGGCCACCGCTAATCATCCCGATGATTCTTGTCTTATTTTCTTAGCCGGCTATCCGGACAGATGCAGCTTGGTCGGCCCGCTCCTTCAACCCTTTCTCAAAATAACGAAATTCGATACGTTCCGAAGACGTTTGGTTAAATTGCCATCCGCAATGACGGTTAGTTTGAAATAACACGGCAGCCGTTACCTTTTAAATAGGCAATAGCGAGAACGCTATCCGAATCATTCAACAATGATACTTAACACTTTATTTACCGGGAGTCTATTTACATTTTAATTGCAGTATTTAGCTATTCGAATTTATTTACTGTGTTGATGGTTATCTACTTAGATTTGGAAACAGACTTGGCTTTCAATGTATCCAGTAACAGTATGGAGGAATTATTGTCAGCCTAGATTGGCATATGCTACTGTAGAAAATTCTTTTTTGAATTAAAGACTATTTCTAAATGTTGATAAAGTGTTAAGAAACCTCCTTACGTTACTCTTTTAATTTCATTAGTAATTCGATTAAATCCAACCATGATTAGTTACGTCTACACTAACAAAAATTTTAATTACCCACAGAGTCTACAAACGATACTGCGTCCCACTGTAGAATCTACCGTTGGATCATCATTTTACTTCTTAAATTAAATTCCATTTTAAATTAATTTTCAAATTGTTAAACAGGATGTACGAGTAATAAGAGGACGTGAACCATGGGGACATCGAGGAGAGGGAAGACACGTCTAATTGCGCCAGTATTCTGGAATTGCTTTAAAGCATTAACTCGAACGTTGCAGAGAGGTATACAACCCCCCAAGATGGCTGCTCCCGGGCGTATCGACGTTTGGCGTTTGGAGGGTTTCCCAGAGGTAAGCTCATCGGAAATTGTGGGTCTTCCCTCCCCTGGCATCGCCCCCGCCGCCCTTGCTGGCCCTTCAAAACAAAGAAACACACGTAATTAAATTTTTGTCCGGCACAAATTAATGTGTGCGCCACGGCGGTGCCACTGGCCGCAGCTGCACCGCCGCCAAAGGAAGTTTAATCCACGATCCGACTTTTAATCGAGCTCTGGTCTGTCCCAACCAAAGTCTTTCGTATCTTTTTTCGTATCTTATGCGATTTTTTTAGTAATTTTCAACGTGCTCGTCGAAAAGAAAGTTTAAAGGTTGAGTTATCGATAGCTCTGTCAGCGATAATCTGTAGATAAGAATTTTTTTGATCGAAATGGATACTCGTTAGATAACAGTTCATAGATTGGCCGTATTTCGCTGTGTTTTATTTATTTTAGAGATTTTTCGCAAAAACGTATCGCTTCGAATATAATAACCTGCAAGAGTTTCTTGATCCATTACTCTTCTAGCTCTACCGTAGAGAGAAAGCTGTTTCTCGAGAATTAAACGAATGTTTCTAGACCTCGCTTCTGTTTTCACTCTCATTATGCTTGATTTTTTACGTTATTCAGAATTCAGCTTAGTTTGCCCCCTCCAAATTGAAGCTAGAAAGGAAATCGTGCAGAAACATTTGCGTGTTACTGTATGCCCCTTTCCCAAAGTGTTTGCAGAAGTAATCTTTCGAGTAAGTCGTTTTGATAGTAGCAGACACGGGGCGATACAGTATGATCGATGAATAATGATCTTTGGAAAAATAATTGAATCGAAAACAATTCAATGCCTTTCGATGCCTTAATCGTGGTTTCGAGTAGCTTTGATATTTAGGTTCAGGGTTCAATGAGGAAACACGCGTCGTAATTTCGTATTTAATTCGTAAAACACGTGCATTAATTATACTTTAGAAATCAATGCATGATTAACAATGCAACGATAGATATATTTCCTTTACTTATGCTCCTCATTTCTTTTGAATAAACATGTCGGGCTGCTTCTAAGGAAAAAAAAGTCAAGCGTATTTTCAAAACTAATTTATTCATATATACACGTTGCATATCAAATAATTGTCTCACTCCTATAGACATTTATGATTCTACAATCCGAGAACGATTAATTGTATGCAAATGTAAGAATAGATTAAACGC